AGCCAAGGAGGTGGTGAGAGAGAGAGAGAGAGAATGTGTGTGTATGTGTGTGTGTGTGTGTGAGAAAGAGAGAGAGCATGTGCGCGTGTGTAGTAATAATAATAACAATGTGTGCACGCGCTTGTGTGTATGCGTGAGAGAGAGAGAGAGAGAGAGAGAGAGAGAGAGAGAGAGAAGGGGGAAGCCGGGGGAGGGAGTCCGTGTGAATGCCAGCGTGAGTGTGTAGTAGAAAGATGGAAAAAAAATCTCAGATAATTATAATACTGCGTATGTAAACAATGACTTTCCTCTTTCAGGTAATAACTGTATGTTTCTTCTGTCAACTTAATGTTATATAGATGTTATTAGGAGCCATTTAGTTAACTGTGTAGGGACATATAATAACTTTACAGGATTAATAAATTATTTTAAAACAATATAACTAATTGGGACAAGTACATAGGAAGAAAATAGTGAAATAACAGGAAGATAGAATAGGAGGGATTTTGTGATTTAGATTAAGGAAGAGGTAGAAGAAATAGCTGTGTGATCTAATTGAACACTAGACCATATATATGTTTTTTTGTTTTTTAGATCAGGAATACAGGATATTATTCCCCACTAATGGTAGAGAGAAAGAGGTTTATTTCTATTCAGTCTATGATGCTTATATTTTCTCAATCATGGGAGTATCTAGGATCAGAAAATTCCTTCGGGATATCACATAGGAATGTTACATAATCGTAGGAGAGTGTTAGCATGGTCACATCTCTCCTATAATCGAAGGACTACTCTATAATCACACAGTTATAGAAGAATTTAAGTTGGTAGTCCTTTTTTCCTATAATTGTTAGAGCCTAGGATGGCCATAGGAGTGTGTAGGATGACTCTCTTTGTATCATGAGCTATAGGATTGTTGTACCATGATCGATGGGTTGTCTCATTATTATCATTGTACAGTAGGATAACCCCCTCTTTGTACCATAACCGTAGGAGAACCAGCTAGCCTGCGGTAATGGAGAGTGTATCGAACGCATCTTATTCTGCGATGGTAAAAATGACTGCATCGATGAGTCGGACGAGAACGCCTGTGGTAGGTCTTTCCCCTGTGGTCGAGAGAGATCAAAACAAAGACCATAATAGCACGCTTCAACACCACCACTACTACCACTACTACTACTAACCTTGTATACCACTACCACTACTAACCTTGTATACCACTACCACTACTAACCTTGTATACCACTACCAGTACTAACCAGCCTTATAAGCCTTTACCAACCAGCCTTATACACAACTACCACTACCAACCAACCTTATACACAACCACTACTACTAGACACTCAGCTCAATCACCACCAGTACACCAAGTCACTTTAATAATTACACACACACACACACAGTTCAAATACATCCACCACCACCACCACCACAACCACAAACAAATACAATCACCACAACAACCACAAGAATATACGATCAATGCCACAACAACAACTACAACACAATACAATCAGCACTACAAGAACAAAACTTACAGTCTATAGTCACGATGCTTTCATGAATATCACCACAAAGGTACAAAATATATCAGTACTCAATATACGTCACAGGTCCATCTTGAAGAATTGGTTCCTCGCTGATAATGAAAATGCATTGTGCCTTTTGTTACTTCGTGAAAACATCGACCATACAAACGAATCACGACAGACACACACACACAATGAGGAACTGATACCCGTACCATATGAGAGGGTCAGTACAGGCAGATCGTGTGGCGTCGTTGCCATCAGTGTGTCACCGCGGGGTGATGAGGTGGAAGGACGCGCCACATGATTCTTGACTGTTGACACTGGCGCAGTTTTTATGGTACGGGCCAATCCAGTCCTCCGCCCCAACATTTCACCCCAAGGTCCATCACGTCAGACCCAGGGATTTCTCAAGAGAGTACCCGTACCCTGAGGTGTTCCTGGGTGCTGGCACGGTGTAGTGATGTAGAAGTGACGTAGTAACAACAGTGTAGTACATGCTTAGAACGGCGGGAAAAGGTATCTGACAATCGGCTTGTGGCTTAATTTACAGGAGAACTTTTTGGCGTGTGGTGACACAACCTGTATGGACAGGACACTCTTCTGTGACGGGAAGGCTGACTGTAGCGATGGTTCTGACGAAAACGCATGTGGTATGTACCGACGTGTGTTGGTGGCCCAGTCTCACCACTGACTCCATTATAAGCATGGTTAACTCTGACCTCTGTAGAGTGACGAGGATTGTTGACTCGGTGATACTCCAGGGGTTACTCTTAGTTTCCTCAGGTTATGGTTATGGCTTCCCTTACGTGGATCCTCTGACTTTTACATAGAGTGAAATTCATGACTCCTTGCGCGAAACTTTTGGCTTTCCTAGAATGAATTACCAACTAACCAAGGCTGACATCCGTGGCTTTCCAAGGGTGAAACTTGTAACTTACTATGGGTGAAACTCTTTTATCTATCACGGGTGAAACTACTCACACGAAACACGAACCTACTCCCTCGCCAACTCCACCCAGTAGCATCTTCACTACAAAAAAATGGTGGCAGCTTTCACCTTAAGGTAACTTGTAAAGGATTAGTTAGCCACTACTTAACCACTTCAGAGACAAGTTACTTGATCTTAATCCCCCTTGGAATGCCCACTTTATTTCATCACTAATCCCACTGGTGTAATTAATATCTCTATTCACCACTGGAAAAATAATCCCTTGACTGTTGGTTTAAGTGACTTTGGTATCTTCGTGGTGACTTAGATTGACCAGCTCTAAGTGTCTTGTTGCCTCTTAACATTTCCAATAATTCTACTCCCCCCCCCCCTACTTCTCACTCTTCCCTGTATTTCCCGTGAGCTGCAGGGCGTTGGATCATTCTGTCAAATTCTCTCTCTTTCTCTCTCCTTTATTACTTCCTCCTCTTCCTCTCTATTTCTCTCTCTCTCCTTTTTACCTTCCCCTCCCTCCCTCTGATCATGTCTCTTTCCCTCACTTCTTTCTCCACCTATCAGAACCCACTCTCCTTTTTCCTCTTGCCTTTCTTCCATTCTCCTCTCTGATACCTCCTTCTTCTTTTCCCAATATCTACTTTTAACACTTCTCCTACTCTTCCTTTTTCCTCTCTCCTCTTCCTCCTCCATTCACCTCCACCTATTATTTCCTCCCCTCCAGAACGACATGTTGGCGTGTGGTGACGGAACCTGTCTAGATAGGAACCTATTTTGTGACGGTACATACATACGACTGTCCTGATGGATCAGATGAGACGGTGTGTGGTACGTAACTTAACAAGGATAGTGCTGCATGGAACGATTCACAAAGTAACAGAAACACAAAAGAATCTCACGTATAAACAGCTGCTACTTGGAATGGAAATTAAAGGTTAATCAATAGGATAAGAACTATAGCTATATGAACACTTGTGTATTACAGCAAAAATATAAATAAATTATATATATATATTGAGCACCTTAGTTATATACACAGCACTAATAAAAGAGATTTAGTAAGAATATAAAGAATTTAACTTTTGGATAACTGCACTGAAAGAGAATGGCGTTAAAAAAATACATACATACATACATACATTTTAAAGCACTGTAATGGTAAATGGTAACAGTAAAATGATTTAGTATAAAGAACAAAAAAAAAATCCTAACACGTAATTATAAAAGCAGCTTTAAACCGGATGCACTAAAACTAAATAAAAGAAATGCATAGAAGAAAAAACCCACTAAAATGCACAAATCCAAAGCGCCAAACACAGAGAAAAAAAAACATACGGAGCACACGAAGATTGTGAAATAGTTTGGAATTCTTAAAGGTCACTAAGATAAGTTTTTTCATGACGTCATCGAGGAAATTGTTCGAAGAGAATATTTCAGGTCAGTGTTTAGTTGGCCTTCCATCTCCTTGTTTATCTCTCACCTGTTTATCTCCTACCTGTTTATCTCTCACCTGTTTATCTCTCACCTGTTTATCTCCTACCTGTTTATCTCTCACCTGTTTATCTCTCACCTTTTTATTTCTCACCTGTTTATCTCTCACCTGTTTATCTCCTACCTGTTTATCTCTCACCTGTTTATCTCTCACCTGTTTATCTCTCACCTGTTTATCTCATCTACCATCCCTAATAATATCTATCTCAAATTCCTTCTCCATGTGTCTCTCTATTACCACTACCTCACACACACACACCAGCTGTATCTCCTTCTGTGTGTTTGTTGCACGCTCCTGCATGCAACTTACAGTACTCCTTGGATATTACACTGTGCCTACAATCTATACTCTCAACACTATCTATTGGTAAAACTAGAAGAAATAGATCCTAACTTCATCAATTTTGTAATATGAAGTAATTCCCTTCATTATTCAATTATCAACTTTGGAAAATAAATATACTTTTTTCACTCATATATATATATATATATATATATATATATTAGTATATATATATATATATATATATATATATATATATATATATCTATATATATATATATATATATATATATATCTATATATAAGTATATATATATATATAGATATATATATATATATATATATATATATAAAGATATATATATATATATATATATATATATAAGGGTTATTCATATATACAGCATATATAAGGAGAAGAAGTAAGGCCTGGCAGCAGCAGCAGCAGCAGGCAGGCAGCAGCATACAAGGCAAGTATAAGGCAGGCAGAAGGAGCAGCAGCAGCAAGCAAGGGCATAAGCATACAGCAGTAGCAGTAGCATAGCATGTTGCTATACATATATACATATAGCATATCTATATATATATATATACAAGCATATATATATATATATATAATTTAATCTTGTAATATTCAGTAAAAACATATTTAATATTTTTTGGATGATTTTGTAAAGTGGATTATATCATTTGGTAATTATATGTGTTAGTTTTTTTTTTTTTTGAGAATGTAAAGTAAGATAAACTTAAGAGTTCTCATCCTCCCTCCTCTATTCACACCCATCCACCCTCCAATCGATTTCCACCCACTTTTTCCCAACCCATCCTCATCTCCACCCTCCCACTTATTCCAACCCACACCCTCCCTCCTCTCTTCACACCCATCCGCTTATCCACCCTCCCCACCCACATTCACCTCTACCTTCCATTTCATCCCATCATCCATACCCTCTTCTATCCCATATCCACTACCCAATCCCGCTCACTGAAGCTGCTCATTCCTGCAGACATCAACAGTGATCCCAACAGTGCCCCGACCTGCAACGCTGAGGAGTGCCGCCTACCTGACTGCTTCTGTTACAACGATGCCAATGAGGTGAGGGTCAACCCCATTCACACTTAGCAAGGTCACACTAAATCATGAACATTTGATTTATTTATTACGTTGAAGTTATGTTTAATGTGAACGAGGTCCTCATAGGTCAAAATAATAAAACTCAGATTCATACATAAAACCTCCTAATAACTCAAAACTATATTGCTAATACCATTCCCTCTTTCTCCGTTGTCCTTATAGATCCCACACAACATGCAGACGACCACTGTGCCCCAGATGGTCACGATCACCTTCGACGACGCCATCAACAACAACAACATGGACTTGTACCAGCTGATCTTCGACCAACGCCTCAACCCCAACCAGTGCAGCATCAAGTCCACCTTCTTTGTTTCCCACAAGTACACCAACTATTCTGCCGTGCAGGAGATGCACCGCCTGGGACACGAGATCGCCGTCCACTCCATTAGGTAAGAATTAATGTTTGTGGTGCGCGCGCGCGCTCGTGTGTGTGTGTGTGTGTGTGTGTGTGTGTGTGTGTGTGTGTGTGTGTCTGTGTGTGTGTGAGAGAGACAGACAGACTACCATCCTGAAGATGTACCTTAGGCCACGAGATCACTAAGCACTCAGGTGAAGAAATGCACCTCTTGGGAAACTGCCTATGCACTCTATCAACTGACACTGGACTTATTGTGTGTAAGAGAGAGAGAAAGTAAGACTAACTACTCCTGGATATGCACCCCTTGGGAAAATCTATCTATCCATTCTCTTATGTGACACAAGACTTACAGCATGTGTGTGTGTGTCTATGTGCGTCTGTGTATGTATGAGAGAGAGAGAGAGAAAGACTAACTACTCCTGGATATGCACCTCTTGGGAACTCTATCTATCTACTCTTATAGGAAACAGTAAATGGTGTCTGTGTTTAACCAGGTACTCCACCATCTAGGTCAGGCACTGCTTGGAAAACTGTCTCTGCGCTCTATCCTGGGAGACAAGAGGTAGTGTAACCAACCAACACCTTCACCGTCTAAGAAATGCACCTTTTAGGAAACTCTTATTATCTCTGCACTCTACAGCATGAGACATGGATTAGTGTGTACATTATATAACCAACTAGTCCACCGTCTAGGACACGCACGGCTTGGCACGCTCTATCTATGCACTCTGTTACGTGAGACAGGAAATAGTGTATGTATGTGCGAGAAATGGTAGATAGGCAAATAAGTCAATTCGCCAAATATACAAATACTGTTAATATAGTTTATGAAACAAGTGTAGGTGATGTGTAGGTTCTCTTTCGTGGGTTTAACATTTAATGTTTTCGTCTTTTTTTACGAAATTATTAAAAATTATTTCTTAATGCAGAAGCAAGTAACGGACAAAATCGAATTTGAATTTCCTTAAAATCGCGTGTTAAGCTTTCTTACGAAGAGCATGACGAAGGAGAAGACTTTATAAATGGTGCCTTTAAGACTACGGCGTTAAGCTAGTTATGAAATATAATACCAACTAAATTACTGTAAATTCAGCTAACTAACCTTATATAAAGTAACTAAAGTGAAAGCTAACATTTAAATAAGGTTAGTTTAGACAGCGTCATCTCTCACATCACTTAATGCCGTGGTCTCTTACAACTATAAAATGTTCACAATTCACTAGGCGCTGCTATCAGCACCCAAATGATTAAGTATAAATTGGCGTCTGACTGCTTCCGCAACCTGTTTCTGTGATAAGAAATAATATTCAGAAATTCTGTAAAACTAAATGGAAATCAATAAATATTAACGACGAGAAAGTAAGCCTCACATATTACTGATATGTATCAATAGTACTATACGTAGCTAGCAAGATACAGATGAACTTATAAGTCACATTACCTAATGTTTGGTAGAAATGATGAGAACACAACCAATCAACATATAGTGTCAGGCCTTGAGCTGGGAGAGAACACAATCAAATGTGCATAATAGTCTCAGGCCTTGAACTGAGGAGTGGGATAAAAATTGTGGAAGATACAGTTATCAGATACACAGATATTTCTCTAGAATCTACGAAATTTCCACTGGTTAAAAGCATGTTTCGTCTTGGTTCCCTCAGCCACAGCAACAACGAGACTTACTGGAGCAATGCAGGTCAAGACGAGTGGGAGCGGGAGATGGGTGGAGCCCGAGTCGTCATTGAGCGCTTCGCCAACATCACCGATAACTCCGTCATTGGAGTGAGAGCCCCATATCTTCGTGTGGGTGGTAACAACCAGTTCAAAATGATGGAGCAAAATACCTTCCTGTACGATTCAACCATCTCGGCGCCATTAGAAAAAACACCACTTTGGCCCTATACCCTCTACTACCGCATGCCGCACGCCTGCCACGGCAACAACCAGAACTGCCCAACTCGCTCCTTTGCTGTGTGGGAGATGGTCATGAACGAGATGGACCGCCGCGAAGAGCCAGCCCTCGAGGAGGAGCTGCCCGGCTGTGCTATGGTCGACTCTTGCTTCTCCAGCAAGCCCACCGCTGAACAATTCTACGGCTTCCTCCAGAACAATTTCGATCGTCACTACCTCACCAACCGCGCTCCTCTTGGTCTCTACTTCCACTCTGCCTTCCTCAAGAACAACCCGGAGATCCTGGACGCATTCCTATACTGGGTGGATGAAACATTAGCCTCCAACAAGGACGTGTACTTCGTTACCATGACGCAGGTGATCCAGTGGATGCAGGATCCAAGACCCACTAGCCAGTTGGTGAACTATGAACCCTGGAGGGAGAAGTGCGACCCCCAAGGCCCTCCCTTCTGCTACGGCGGCACCAACTGTGAACTGAGCACTGACGAATTGCCGGGCGAGACGGTGCGCCTCAACACATGTATGCGCTGCCCCAACAAGTACCCCTGGCTAGATGATCCTCGGGGTGATGGATTCTTCTAAACTCCTTCACTACCGCCATACTACTAAGGCCTACCCTCCTGGGTGAGCCAGTTTCCCTTTTCCTGGGTGCAGTTTCATCCATGTAAATATCGTTCTATAATTTGTACGTGATTATCCGTGCAAACGTCTTCCCGTTGCGAAAGGATAGTCGTTTGTTAGAGAGGCGTGCAGAACCTCTGCCCATATATAGCATCACGACAAATTAGGGCACCCTGTTGTTGGGGTCGAACGAGGTTGCTAGCACCCTGCCCTTTGAAGGTCACCTTCCCGCAGGTTACCCACGGCGGGCCACTTTATATTTATTGGAGCTGGAGGCGCCCTCGCCCACACCACCGGTTCTCCGAGGTAGCCGCTACTACCCACAAACATCTAGTGTTTTACTAGCTATGGTTATCGTCTACAGTTATAGCGTATTTTTTTTTATCGTACACTTTATGTTTAATGTTACCTAATAAACCATTATTCCTCGGTATTTTTTTTATTTATATATGTAACGCGCACCAAATATCTTCACTTTGTATATCTGTTTTCTTCGTTCTTTACAAACTTATTTTCTCTTCCCCAGGCTACTATGGCTCGTAGGATTACAAGCAACACAGGGGTGAATGTTCAGTTAGCCAGTGTTAGTGGAAGCTAAGACACGGAACATCTCGCTCAATGGTTGTAACATCCCACAATGTTTCCTACAAGCTTGAGTTAGATAACCTGCGACAAACTTTTCAAGACATGACAGAATATTTTGTTTTGTGGTTTTAGAGTGACTCCTCCTCCCCACCCCCCAACTCCTTTCTCTTCCTTAGAGGAGTGGTGACTGTAAGCCATATATCCAATGCTACATACATCTACCGAGGCCAAAGAAATCTTGGTCTGGCATTGGTGGACTATCTCTATATGAAGTTGATGACTGACTGTTTTACTTATGACTTAGCAGCGCATTATATAACGTGAGGAAACTTTTTATCAGGTACAGCTGCTCCAAGACACTGTATATAGGACAAAGTGTTTCTTACTTCAACTGTCTACGTTCTTCAGCGCTCCGGCAGATCAAACCCAACCATCACTATGTCTAATTTTAACTGATATGAAACACTGACCGTTGCAATAAAGGTTTAATTCACCTATGGTAACAATGTTCAGTATTTTGTTCCTGTATGGTTCACTGATGTTTTCTTTTAATTCAACGGGGCGCCAAAGGAGTGTACACAGTTGGCGCAGATGAAGGTAACAGCATTTTATGGATGCCTTAAGGCGGCGTCACACTAGCATTTCTATTGGCAACTTTTTCATTACTGTCGACTTTTTTCGTTAATCGTCCGCGTTGTTGTTGGTTGTTTGTCAAACGGTACAGACCGTCTGTACTGACAACTAGTACGACAACTTACCGGAGTCAACTCAAAATCCATAATTGATACTGCAAATAGTTTATAAAAAGTAAACCAATTTTTACTTAAAATATAAAGCTATAATTATTATAAAGTAATTATTATTCTATTTCCCAACAGTACTCATTATTTTGTTTAATTTCGTGATTTTAAAAAGGAAAACAAATTAATTTGTTGTTTACATTTTGACCACGCGGGAATAACAAAAACATGATGGAGCCCAGAGATAAAATAATTTCCCAAGTATGGACACGCCTCTCCGAGAAGTTCTTGGTGGACCAGATAAGGCAGCGCCGCTGTCTCTGGTATCACCAGGACTCTCCATACACCAAAAAAGGCGTAGAATTCCTGCACCTTCTTCGTCAGTTTTACGATTTTCCGAAAGATGACAAAAAAAATCGACGAAAGAATGCCAGAGTGACGCTTCCTTTATGTGTTTTTACTTTCAAACTAATAGGTAAGAAATACTCGGTAATTCTGAAGATCTTTTTCAACGTCATTAATATTTACTTCTCCCCCATTTTCATCTTTTTTTTTTTTACAGAATTACTAAAAATTATTTTATTTTTTTACAGAAACTAGTGGCGGACACATTACCAAAAGCGAAAATGAGCTTACTTACAAACACGTTGAATATACACATGAGCAGCAGCTGTCAGTCAGTTGTTAACATGTGGCGATACGTGAGACTACGGCATTAATTCATTTATGAAAGAACACAACCAAGCTTACCTGGCTTGTGTCCTTTTAGGTTAACGTGGTTTGTCACGTTAAGTTAACGTGGTTTATGTCACGTCAGGTTAACGTGGTATATGTCATGTTAAGTTAACTTGGTTTATGTCACGTTAGGTTAACTTGGTTTATGTCACGTCAGGTTAACGTGGTATATGTCATGTTAAGTTAACTTGGTTTATGTCACGTTAGGTTAACTTGGTTTATGTCACGTCAGGTTAACGTGGTTTATGTCACATTTTGACAACGGGTTAATGCCTTAGTCTCAACCGCAATGTGTAAACAAATACTGGAAACTGTTCTCGCAGTATGGAACATTTACCTCCTGTTTTTATGCAAGTTCAAAAACGTCTGTCCGCCAACTATTTTTGTAATAAGAAATAACTTTAGGAAGTTTGTAAAACAAGGGCGGGGAGGGGGAGGAGAGGGGGGAAATACTTAACAGTGTGGCCGCGCAAGAGATCTTCACCAGTACCATACACGGGTTCATCTGTACAATATCTTGGAGAATCACGTAGTTTTCCGTCTAAGCCTATAGAAGTATTACCAAGCTACACATATGGAGTCAAAATATTGTAGGCTTGTGGAGACAGACAGACACATGTATGAGTGATTAAATGCTGCGTGGAAAACAAACAAATACTAGGTGAGATACAAATTAGATGGATAAACAAGTAAACCGAGAAAAATGTAGGTAAATTTGTATACAAATATATGAATTACATCACCAAGCCAAATAGAATTATAAAAATGCTGGGCACAAATACACAAACATTTCTATAAGCCTTTCAAGCTCCTCTTCCACTAGCTATACTGATGTTTCTCACATTGATTCCCTCAGCCACAGCGATAATGAGACCTACTGGAGTACAACAAGCGAGGATATGTGGGAGCAAGAGATAGCTGGAGGGCGCATCGCCATCGAAAGCTTTGCCAACATCACCGATAACTCTGTCATCGGCGTACGAGCCCCGTTCATGCGTGTAGGCGGCAACAACCAGTTCAGAATGATGGAGAAAAATACTTTCCTGTACGATTCAACCATCGTGTCGCCCATGCAAAACCCACCACTTTGGCCCTATACCCTCTACTACCGCATGCCGCACGCCTGCCACGGTAACAACCAGAACTGCCCAACTCGCTCCTTTGCTGTGTGGGAGATGGTCATGAACGAGATGGACCGCCGCGAAGAGCCAACCCTCGAGGAGGAGCTGCCCGGCTGTGCTATGGTCGACTCTTGCTTCTCCAGCAAGCCCACCGCTAACCAGTTCTACAACTTCCTCCAGAACAACTTCGATCGTCACTACCTCACCAACCGCGCTCCTCTTGGTCTCTACTTCCAGTCTGCCTTCCTCAAGAACAACCCAGAGATCCTGGACGCCTTCCTAATCTGGCTGGATGACACACTGGCCTCAAACAAGGACGTGTACTTCGTTACCATGACGCAGGTGATTCAGTGGATGCAGGATCCAAGACCCACTAGCCAGTTGGTGAACTATGAACCCTGGAGGGAGAAGTGCGACCCCCAAGGCCCTCCCTTCTGCTACGGCGGCACCAACTGTGAACTGAGCTCTGACGAACTGCCGGGCCAGACGGTGCGCCTCAACACATGTATGCGCTGCCCCAACAAGTACCCCTGGCTAAAGGATCCTCGGGGTGATGGATTCTTCTAAACTCCTTCACTACCGCCATACTACTAAGGCCTACCCTCCTGGGTGAGCCAGTTCCCCTTTTCCTGGGTGCAGTTTCATCCATGTAAATATTGTTTTATAATTTGTACATGATTGTGTCTAGGCAAACGTTTTCGCATTCAAGACGGACATATGCCTGTCAGGCCGAGGGGTGAGGACCTACTGCTCAACGCAGCACAACAACAAGCCGTAAAAAGTCTAGCTGCAGGAAAATGCCGGGGTTTCAAAAAAACCCTGCCCATAGTGGGTCACGTCCCCTAGAGGGTTACCCATGGGGGGCCCCTTCATATTTATTGGAGATGGAGGCGCCCTTCCCTCTTCCTGTGGTCGCCCACACCATCGGTCCTCTAAGGTGGCTGCTACAACCCACTTACATCTGAGGGTTTACCAGTTGTTTTGATCGTCTAGAATTTTAGCGTCACTTGTTTTTACCTTCCATATTATGTTTTATGTTACTCAATAAAACCATTATTCCTCAGAACACTTTTATTAACAAATACATACATAAAAAAATTAAATATATATATATATATATATATATATATATATATATATATATATATATATATATATATATATATATATATATATATATATATATATATATATATATATATATATATATATATATATATATATATATATATATATATCTTGTAAACCACGCTAGGAAACTATTGTACATAAATTATCAGACATGTTGTACTGTAGAGTGGAACATTGTGTCCTATAAGTTAGAGTTCAATACATCGTACCAAACGTCTCAAGAAAACCTGAAAAAGTTTCTTAAGGTTCTTAAAACACAGCAACACATATTCCCCCTTCTCCTTTATCTGTCGTTCACTTTTCCTCTCTGTCTTAAGTCATCGGCCACTTTATCTGAATAGCAGTAATTGGGCAATCCTTCCGACGCTAAATAATATACAGTATAACTATTGTTACACACACACACACACACACACACACACATATATATATATATATATATATATATATATATATATATATATATATATATATATATATATATATATATATATATATATATATATATATATATATATATATATATATATATATATATATATATATTATATACTGTACACAAGGTGAGTCAAAAGTCTCCATTCACACGGAACCACGGTGGCGAATCCAGTGAGCCAGAAACTTCTGATCCAGCCACTGGCACACGAGGATACCGTAATGGGGTGGCACCCCATCTTGCTGAAATGTAATGGTGGCCACATAGAGCATATTTTGTGACTTACAAGTGATCGCATAATAAAGTGATCATTTTGCCTATGTATGAAGACTTTTGGCTCAGCCTATATATATATATATATATATATATATATATATATATATATATATATATATATATATATATATATATATATATATATATATATATATATATATATATATATATATATATATATATATATATATATATATATGTGTGTGTGTGTGTTTAAAGCAATTTTCAGGGTTATATTAGGTACCTCATTACTTCCACACGACACGCGTTCTCTCGTAAATTTAAACAAACACTGCTGAACTATGCCTGCTTTTATCTGTAACAAACAGAAATTTTGGCAATGACCAACGGGCAGTTTTAGTTCAATTGAGGCAGAGTTTAATGATGGCTAGCTTTACCTCCTCGCCGAGAGCAAAAGGGGTACCTTGATTTAAACGCAAAAGACAACTTTACCATATAAGCACACACACACACACACACACACACACACACACACACACACACACACACACACACACACACACACACACTGACGAATGACGCCTCCAGGTTGAGGGCACAAATGTGGCACACAATCAGATGAACGTACAGTACTTCGTCAGAAACTAACACAAGTGTAGAGTAGAAATACAGAAATAACAATTATTCAGATGAACTGATGTTTCTGTAGTTCCCACGACCTTCCTTTCCACTGGTTAAAACAATGTTTCGTCTTGGTTCCCTCAGCCATCGCACCAATGAGACTTTCTGGAGCACGGCTTCTGTGGACGAGTGGGAACAAGAAATGGCTGGAACACGTGTCATCCTTGAGCGTTTCGGCAATATCACCGATAACTCCGTCATAGGCCTGCGAGCCCCGTTCCTGCGTGTGGGTGGTAACAACCAGTTCAAAATGATGGAGAAGAACACCTTCCTGTACGACTCCACCATCTCGGCTCCCTTACGAAAAACACCACTTTGGCCCTATACACTCTACTACCGCATGCCGCACGCCTGCCACGGTAACCTCCAGAACTGCCCAACTCGCTCCTTTGCTGTGTGGGAGATGGTCATGAACGAGATGGACCGCCGCGGAGAATTCGCCATCCATGGTGACTTACCCGGCTGTGCTATGGTCGACTCTTGCTTCTCCAGCAAGCCCACCTCCGAAGAGTTCTACAACTTCCTCCAGAAAAATTTTGATCGTCACTACCTCACCAACCGCGCTCCTTTTGGTCTCTACTTCCACTCTGCCTTCCTCAAGAACAACCCAGAGATCCTGGACGCCTTCCTAATCTGGCTGGATGACACACTGGCCTCAAACAAGGACGTGTACTTCGTTACCATGACGCAGGTGATCCAGTGGATGCAGGATCCTCGACCCCTTAACCAGCTGCAGAACTATGAACCCTGGAGGGATAATTGTAACCCCAAAGGCGCTCCTTTCTGCTACGGCGGCACCAACTGTGAACTGAGCACTGACGAACTGCCGGGCCAGACGGTGCGCCTCAACACATGTATGCGCTGCCCCAACAAGTACCCCTGGCTATTGGATCCTCGGGGTGATGGATTCTTCTAAACTCCTTCACTACCGCCATAGTACTAAGGCCTACCCTCCTGGGTGAGCCAGGCCCCCTGCCCCTTGGTGTAGTTCTTTCTCTGTAGATATTGTTTTATAACTTGTACATGATTATGACTAAACGTCGTCATGTTTCACATAGATATTTGTTTGTTAGTTCGAGGCGTATGGGGCCGCTGCCAAGGCATGGTGCCAGAAAATGCCAGGGCAGGTCCCGCGGCCGGGATCGAGTTGTGGCTATTAACCCCCGAGCAGGTTACCAACGATGCCCCCCCCCCTTCATATTTATTGAAGCTGAAGGCACACTTTCCTCTTCCTTTGGTCGCTCATACCACCGGTCCTCCTAAGTGATCAATACTACCCCTGCACATCTTAATTTTACCTTCATGTGATGACCTTGATATAAAAAACCTTCCTTCCAAATTATATTTCCCAATAAAACCATTATTCTTTTTTCTCTTTTATTTACTTCTACATGCATATGCCTTATGACTTAAACTGGGTGTCTACCTTCTCCTGATATTACTGATCTATACACTATTTCTAAGATTAGTACAGCACATATTATAACATGTACCATATGGATGATTATCTAAGTCACTATTATTAGTGGAAGCTAATGCATGACATAATTTTGCATTGGGTGTATTTGTATTGTATCCTAGAAGCCTAAACCAGATACCCCATGACAACCTTCTGATGACACAACCATAAACTTTTCTTTTAGTACTAAAGAGTACAAGTCCTCTTCCTCCTCCCTCTCACCATCTCTATATTGATCTCTCTGTCCAAGGAGAAATGACTCCAAGCCATCCCTGCCGTGTTGCATATATCATTTCAAGGATACCGGATTCTCGCTCTGGCATTAGTGGGAATTATAGTATAGAGTGACTGATTACGGTGCCTAATTGTTTTAGCTTAATCACCTCGTGTGACACCTATTTCAAGTGAGATGACTTAGTAGGGTGTACTCTACTGCATACTGAGGGATGGCTTACGATATGTATGTATGTATGTATGTATATATATATATATATATATATATATATATATATATATATATATATATATATATATATATATATATATATATATATATATATATATATATATATATATATATATATATATATACACAAAGAGAAAGAGGCAGAGATAATGCTAAATATGTACACATGTAGAGGGATGTATAATTCTTCTTCCTAGAAGGTGGAGATGTTGGTAACACAGGTATCTAGCCAGGTAAATAAATTGATGTCCTGGTAAGTTGATAAATGAATTAACATAGACCAGGGGTAGAAAGAATGTAGACACTTAAAAAAGAACACATTCTTAAGTATATCCAGCTCCTCATCCCCTACCTATACTGATGTTTCTCACATTGATTCCCTCAGCCACAGCGATAATGAGACCTACTGGAGTACAACAAGCGAGGACAAGTGGGAGCGAGAGATAGCTGGAGGGCGCATTGCCATCGAAAGCTTTGCCAACATCACCGATAACTCTGTCATCGGCGTACGAGCCCCGTTCATGCGTGTAGGCGGCAACAACCAGTTCAGAATGATGGAGAAAAATGCTTTCCTGTACGATTCAACCATCGTGGCGCCCATGCAAAGCCCACCACTTTGGCCCTATACCCTCTACTACCGCATGCCGCACGCCTGCCACGGTAACAACCAGAACTGCCCAACTCGCTCCTTTGCTGTGTGGGAGATGGTCATGAACGAGATGGACCGCCGCGAAGAGCCAACCCTCGAGGAGGAGCTGCCCGGCTGTGCTATGGTCGACTCTTGTTTCTCCAGCAAGCCCTACGCTGATCAATTCTACAACTTCCTCCAGAGCAACTTAGATCGTCACTACCTCACCAACCGCGCTCCTCTTGGTCTCTACTTCCAGTCTGCCTTCCTCAAGAACAACCCAGATATCCTTGACGCCTTCCTAATCTGGCTGGATGACACACTGGCCTCCAACAAGGACGTGTACTTCGTCACCATGACGCAGGTGATCCAGTGGATGCAGGATCCAAGACCAAATAGCCAGTTGGTGAACTATGAACCCTGGAGGGAGAAGTGCGACCCCCAAGGCCCTCCCTTCTGCTACGGCGGCACCAACTGTGAACTGAGCTCTGACGAACTGCCGGGCCAGACGGTGCGCCTCAACACATGTATGCGCTGCCCCAACAAGTACCCCTGGCTAAATGATCCTAAGGGTGATGGATTCTTCTAAACTCCAACTTTGGCGCCATACTATTATGGCCTACCCTCCTAGGTCAGCCGGGCCCCTCTCCCAGGGTGCTGTTTCATCGTTGTAAATATTGTTTTATAATTTGTACATGATTGTGTCCAGGCAAGCGTCGTCGCGTTTCGGATGGAGTGTCGCCTATCAGGCAATGGCGCGTGAAGCCGTTTCCTAGGCATAAAACCAAGACTAACCGATGTATCGTTGTGGGGATCAAGCCAGGATCGCTAAACCTTCCCTCTTCCCCCGTGGATCATCCCTTATCTGGCCATCCACGACGACCCTCTTCGTATTTATTGTAGCTGGAGGCGCCCTTCCCTCTTCCTTTGGTCGCCCTCTACTTGGCCGCTGCTGCCCCAAAACAACTAAGGTTTTACCAGCTGTGATCATCGTATAGAGTTATAGCGTCACTTGTTTTTACTTC